ATGAGGGAGGATGTGAAGTCGAATGGGTGGATACAAATACAAACTGATGAGCAAGAATCTCATGCAGTATTAGGAAAGAAAAAATGGTCACTGCTTGATGGAAGTGGTCTGATAGGGTGGCTGGTGAGGAATGTGTGCTTCAGGTGGTCATACACCTCTGTTCTGAAAACATGACTTTCAAGGGAAAGACAGAGAGCTGAGAGAGACCCACTATCCATGGATACAAGCTTGACATGATGGAGGGGCAGACAGAATAGTTCTTTTCTTAAAATCCTTTTACGGGAAAGTCAAAAATTTTCTGCTTCTTTCCCTCAACTCTTGCACTTTGCCTCCAAGACGTATCCCGCAGATGTGCAGACCATTACCAGCTGTGGCAGCGTTCAACCAGACAGATTCTTCAGGAAACTGGATCCATTGTGAGACCATGGCAGCTACATGATCAAAATGGTTCAATGAGTCCTACTTCAGAAGACGTTCTTCCCAAAATGTAGGGAACGTCCATATTTCCAAACATGGATTTGTACACATATCAGGCCAAATTCAATTTCTGACTACAGTTTGCACATGTAATAAGCATGTGTGAATGTTAGCATTTTTTCCCTCTGGAAAAAGTCCTGGCCTTGTGGTTGATGACTAACTCCAAATCATATATTTAAAATTAAGACCCATAGAGCCACAGTTATTAGTTTGTACCTACTATTAAAATAGAATGCTGACGTTTAACAAAACTTTCTGATTTTACTGATACTCTCCTATTTCCCTAGTGAAATGCAACCTTTTTCATGACAGATCCTTAGTACAGAGGTGGCACAGGCAGAATAAATGATACTGAAGGTTTTATGTGTTTCATTTTTCATGGAAATAATTTATTCAAGTGTTCTGTGTGATCCCCTTGTAGGTAGTCTAGAATTACTAATGAATACTTATTATCAATGTTGTCCTCATACTTTAAGATGTTGTAGCTAATGCTTCCTCGTCTATATTTTATTGTAGTAACCAGGATGCTGGAGAAGGAGAGACGTTTGGGTGATTGGTATTTCTAGTTAACTGAGTATTGAAAAAACAGTCCATTATGTATTTAACACCTGTTAATATTTTCTAAGCATGTGAGATATTTCTCTTTGTGTCATGAAGCTTTGAAAGTGGACGTTCTGGATGAATTTTCTTCCTGCATGAGTGCGCCTCAGTGCAGGTCTTAGAGCCTCAGTCATTACTGTGCAGTGGAAAACGACTGAATGGGTGTGACTTCAGGGAGGCCTTTTGCTTTTTAGTTAGCTAATACTGTGAGCTTTTTCTGCCTTCAATTTTGATTCATTCTTATACAATTTTATGTACTAAGCATTTGATCGTTTATATCAGATCGACCACACCAAAGATAGATTACTTGGAATTTTCTGTGGTGGTAACTAGTATTTATCTCATTGCCTCCCACAAAATGGAACTTCACTAAGCATGAGTGGATGCAGCCATAACTACAGACCCACCTCAGAGGCTTAGCTCCAGTTTCCACACTGAGAAAAGAAGGCATTTATATACAATCCAGTCTTTCCTCTTTCAGAATCTTAGTCATGTTTCTCTCTCTCCCATCCAGAGGCATATTGTTACTTTTTATATTAGAACAGAATGTTAATTCACTCGGCAGTGTTACTTTCTTTCAAATGCTATTCAAGGAGTTGAGAGTCCATCACTGTAAAAATAGACAAACTTAGAAAAAATGGCCAACTCAGCTAAAAACATGAGTGTGTTTGGATGTGTAAAAGTACCTATGTAGTGTTTCATAAAAACCTCACCTCTAAATAAATTAAATGTAGCAATGTATATGCAGTGAATAAGTAATTTTCACTTTCTGAGCTGTCTCAAAATGGATTTGTTTATGTATATATGGATTTCCATTTTATGTCGTATAACAAACTAGTATTATAGTCTCAGAAGCGCTGAACTAATTTAATAAGTTGATCAGTCAGTTCTAACAAACTTGGTTATTCATCTGTACAGCATTGCTATTGCTTCTCTGAACTCTGAGAAGTCAATGATGATCCTTTTAGGAATTTTTAACTCATGTAGAGAGTGTGTACCAGCGTATCGAGACAACCAGACTTACAGGGAAAAAAAGCTTACCATGTGTTTAGGATACCCAGAGCACTATTAAGTGACCATATAGAAATGCTTGTGCCTGCCCTTACCTCCAGCTCTACAGCATCCGCATGTGCCACCCATATTCCATAAGCTGATTTAGCTTGTGACTTCTCTCAGTGAGTCCACATGACAGTCATTAGGACTCCTCCCAGCCTGTTCTCCTATTATGCTCTGTGTTCTTGTTTTAACGAGTCTTTGCCCACCCACCCCCACACCCCCATGCTCTTCTGGAGCATCTTGTAAGACATGCTTTGTTTGACGAGCTGTAGTTTAATCCAGACAGACAATAAAATCCCCGAGGGGGGCTCTCATTCCTTTCATTCTGGGGTGGTCATTTGTATTACTGCAAACATATGTTCTCAAAATGCACATTACATAAAAATCTGGTATGAATTGGGAGCTTCATTGTCATGGCATACTTTTAATCTCATGGGCAAAAGGCATAAAGAATAATATAAGTGCTTTAAGACATTTGGATGATTGGCTCTTTTGGACGAATAATCTCAATAATATTCTCACTTATCCTCAAACCACTGGACAGAGACTTGTATTTTGAGAGAATTTCTTGACACTCTGCTTATGCCCATACTCACTGGAATATATCACACTGAGGAAAACGTTATATTTCTGATTTTTAAAAATTAATTCAAATTTGATTTTGTGTGTATGGGTGTTTTGCCTGAGTGTATATGTGTGCACCGTTCACCTGCAGTGCCTGCATAGGCCAGAAGAGGGTATTGGATCCCCTGAAACTGGAGGTACAGTTGTCAGCTGCCAGGTGGGTGCTTGGAATCAAACATAGGTCCTCTGGAAGACCAGTTGGTGCTCACTGAACCATCTCTACAGCCTCCTGATTGGATTTCTATCTTGGGCTTTGAGTTGTAGGTAAATAGGAAAAATGGATTGTTTCTTCACTTGTAGGGATGCTGTGAACAGTTTTCATGCACAATGTGTAGTAACAGATAGGAAAAGTATTATCTGCATCTCATGTAGCGATGATAGTGCAGTGCTGAAAATCTTCCAAATGGCACTGAATAAGTATAGTGGTGTGAGCAGTACCAAGCAAAACTACCTGTTCCGTGTTCTATGATGTATTTCTAAATGAGTGTATCTGATTACACATGGATGGTTGTTTGTTGTTGTTGTTATTAATTATTATTGCTTTCTCTGTAAGTTAAAGTGCAGTTTGGACAACCTGATACTGCTTGAGTTGTTTTCACCCAGTCAAGCTTCACTATAGTTTCTTTGTCAGGATTATTAGAAGGTTAGTGACCATGCTCAATTTGTACAATTCAGGTATGTCCAAGAAGGGGGAGGAGAAACATTAGTCTATATACACGCAAAATCAAATTAAAAGACAATGTTCAAATGAGCTTGCTTAATATCAAATGTTTATATAGAGCAAAGGTTAGATTTAAGTTAGTTATTTTTTCTCCTTCACACATAATTTAGAATTCCTTAAAACACGTCCTGTGTCTTAACTCAAGTCAACCTGGTAGGTAAGCAAGTACCCACAAAACTCTAAATTATTGAGTTAAATGTTTTTGACACTTAGTCGAATAAATACAAGCTCTCAACTTAATGCAGATTTTAATTTTATTCTTTTCCTTGACTTGACTCTAAATTTATTTTTCTGTGTTATTATTATACCTTCTTCACAGTCACAAATTGTTTGATGGTAGCATATGTCGTGTGTGTGTGTGTGTGTGTGTGTGTGTGTGTGTGTGTGTGTGTGTGTGTGGTGGGTGCACAGGCATCTGGAGGTCAAAGGTCAGTACCAGGGTGTCTTCTTCAATTGATAATTGATCTCTGCCTTATTATTTGAGACAGGGTCTCTCACTGAATCTGGAGCTTAGAGGCATGTCTAGGCTGGCTGTCCAGCATGCTCCTGAGATCTTCCTGTCTCCCTTTCCAGTGCGTAGCTGATAGACACATGTCATTGCTCAGGCTTTTGAATGTGGGTTCTGAGCTGTTGAATTCTGAGCCATCAGAGAGAGCCATCTCCGGAGATTGGTTCTCCCAATGCATTGGTTTCTTGACCATGCGTTTTCAGAAGTCATGCATTACTTTAATCATAGTCTAGGCTTTGAGTTTTATAAATGTGACCTTAATGCAAAATATTTCCACAGACTCTTTCCCCCACCTCTTTCTATCTGTTGCCTGTTCTGTTCCTGTTTACTGGTTTTGGAAGGGCTACCCTCATTGTTCACACATTCAGTCATATACTTCAGGTATCCAAACCATATTATTACCATAATGTTATACTAATTGATTAATTTAGTAGTAGTCCCTACATTGTATGGTGAAGTCTGTGAATGTTAAGGCTGTTTCTAAACTGTTCACCATTGTCGACCTAGCACTGTCATACATATGTGGTGATAAACAAACAAATGCAGAGTAGCTGAGAACATGGTAACAGATTATAATAAGCCAAGTGTCTGATGTCAATTAAATACCAGCTCTTGACATACATGTGTGCGTATGTGTGTGTGTGTGTGTGTGTGTGTGTGTGTATGTGTGTGTGTGTGTGTGTGTGTGTGTGTGTGTGTGTTCCTGTTAAATTTGGGAGAGTAGTGGGATTCAAAAGGTGGGGGTCTCTTTGCTCATTCACGTGCCAAGACTTGTCCCCTGGCTCCTTATTAGTGTCATACATAGTTGACCTGAGTTTGATGGAAGAATGAAGGACAAGAGAATTTTATGCATGAAAACACAGCTTTCTCTTCCAGCACTTGCTCTTCTCCCTACCTTTGCATCTTCCCGTCATTAGGAGTTTTTAGTAAAGCACCATGGAGTTTGTTTAGGGCCAGGTTTGCGCTCGGCGTTTTGTGTTCAGTCCTGACTTTGTTCCTTTCTCATTCCTGTAGATTTACGCATTTGTTTTTGAGAACATCGAGTCTGTTCAGCTGGAAGCTCTGCTCTTATCCTTGCTGAGCATCGTTGTCCTTGTTCTCGTTAAAGAGCTGAATGAACAGTTTAAAAGAAAAATCAAAGTTGTTCTTCCTGTCGACTTGGTTTTGGTAAGTATGCAATCAACAACACTTAGTTGTTTTCGGGGGTGAGGGTAAAGTCTGCAGATGCTCACTGTATTTTCTACAGCAACCCACAGCCGTTCCTGTGTCTCATTAATGAAAGACTAATTTGCATGGATATACATTAATCTAAGAAACATTTTGAGTCAATAATTTTAAAAAGGAAGGACATATGTTTTCAATTTACACAGCATTTCTCATATGCTTTCAATTTTTTATAAAAATAAGAGGACATATCGCCTGAGATCTCATAAGAGACATATCTAAGAGTGAGTATCCAATGATATTGGGTATGATCTTATGCAAAGTAATAAAATATGACACCCTGTGCTATTGCCATGACACCTCTGTGACACACATTAAACTATTATCTGGCAAATACTCATTAATGATTGGAAGGTTTGTTGATTTTCCTGTTACTGAACTAATTTTACCTCTCTGAAAAGATGCTCAGGATTTTCATTGGCCAGGACTGGTTCTTCAAAATATGTTTGTGACTGGAAAAATACATCATATCTTGCTTCTAAAGACTGAAGTTTTAAGAGCCTTTCCCAGGAGCACTTAGTAAAGTATCACATTGACATGACCACAGTCTACATTAATGAGCTTTAAATAGTCCTTGGATTTTCATGTATATTATAAATGGTATCCAAATAACTTCATCGATTGAAATTTTGATGGCAAGATCCATGCCATCTTACCTCAAAGTTTGGAAGAGGTTAAGAAATGTCCATTGTATCTTGGAAATCTATATTAAAAGTTTTATAAAACCAAAATTTGAAAATAACCTTCGGGAGACAGGTCCCTAACCTAGTCATAAAGCATCTGACATTCTCTAAAAAATTGGTAAGGATCATTTCTAAAATGACAGATATTCTTGAGATGGCGTGGACTTTCAAGACCCTTGGCAAGAGCCCCCATGCAAACCCAAATACTTAAAAGTCGCAGAACATAATGTTAAAGAAAGCAGGTTCTGTTTTTTTTTTGTTGTTGTTGTTGTTATTCATTTTTTACCTCAACTACTGTATCTCTGTGATGACCTTGGAAAGCAGGTTAGAATAGAGAATTCTACTCCAGCGAGTCTGAGAGAATGTGGCCGTGTGAGTAGGCTTGCCTTTTCCCTCCCCCGCCAGCTTCATCACACTCATAAGGTATCCTATATACACACACGGATACCCCTGAACCACTGTCAAGCTTTGGACACGTCCACTGCACCATCACCACTGCCTCTTGGTCTTCCCTGGGTCCCTGGGTCGCTCTGGTAAGGAAGATCTGCTGCAACCAGGCTGGTGCTGTATAGGCAGGGAATGACAGATACTTGAGTGTCTGCAGCATGGAAGAGAAACAAGGGTAGAATTTGAGTTGGGCACCTATTGTTTTTTCTTATAAAGCTTCCAACTTATAGGGAACGTGACAGTTGGAGGAGAGCCAGATTAGAACTATCTTTAGCAATCGGGGCATAATCCCTTCCTGCCCATGTCGAAGAGCCGAAGAGCCACGCTGGCCTGTATATACCTATATTACTAACAAACTGCTAAAGAGGAACTGGTGAACTCAAGATAAAGAAACTTAATCATGTTATCAAAATACAGCGAGGAAGCAGGGTGCTTGCTGTCTCCATGACCATTTCAGTAACTTAGAGATAACTATTATATCACATTAATATCTATATAGTTTTATTTTTGCCTTTTCTTTGTTAAATCCAAAGTAATATTTTGCTTTTTAAGCACATTTGATGCTTTAGAAATTTTTGTAAATTCAGTTAAACATCAGCTGAAGGCATTCTTAGGAACATAACTACAAAGACCGCTACTTAATATTGAGCATTGATTGCTAGATGTTCCTTATTTGACAGTGTAATTTTGTTATGTTTTTTCTCTGGCCATGCTTATGGGGAATTTGTACTTTAAGTGTATGATTGATGTATCCATTTTAAGAAGATGAATCATTCCATACTGTTTTTTATTGTTTCATTTCTATTTGTCTATAGAAGATTTCAAGGTTCATTTTAGGTGATAAAACTAGTTTTTACTTTATCCCAATTGTTATTCTTTTAGTAGCCCAATTTGGAAGGCTTTGTTTCTTTTGCCATTTGTATTTAGGATCTCAAATACAATTTGTCCACAGCCCAGCGCAGTGGGTCATGAAATTATGTAGTAACAGGTCAGAAGAACTGACGTAAGCCATCGTCAGCATCTCTTCAGATCAACCTAAGATCTCTACCTAAAAGGCCCAGGCTATGTTCTCAGGGAGCAGAAACTGACATAGTGTAAAGAGAGTGCCTCAGGTTAGACAACATGGAAGTCCCAGAGCTGAGATGAAAGACTGTGAAAACGGGTGGAAGATGCTCGGGGACATCGCCGATACGACGGAGGCTGACCTGGCTCTGACATGTGCTTAAAGATGACTGTGGGGCCGAGGAGCTATGTCATCCGCTAAGTGTGTAAGTGTGAGGTCTAGAGTTCAGATACCCAGAACTCTTCTAAACGCCACCCAGGCACAGCAGACCGCCTGGACTTCCAGCCTTGGAAGACGGTAATAGGGGATCACCAGGACGAACTGGCCGTCCAGATTAGCCATATAGAGAAACTCTGGGCTTGATTGAGAGACCCTACCTCAACGAATAAGGAGGAATAGCAGAAAAATATTAACTTTGGTCCTCCACATGTACAAGAATCCTTGCGCATTTGCACACATGCAAACATGTGTGCCCCCACACAGGCAAATATGTATGCACACATGTAACACACACATGCACATGCACATATAGACACACTGGCTATGACTGTAGACAGAGCAAGTGACCTTGCTTGAATATCTCAATAATATCAAAATAAGTTATCTGAACCTCCTTGAGGGCTATCTGAAAGTCATTTGTCCCACCAGGCTGGGAACTGGCATGTTTTACTTCATGAAGGAGATAAAGCCTCAAATTTTTTTAAAAAAAAATGAGGCTGTAAACCAGCATTTATTACTAGCAGAGTAAGAATATTGAACAGCAGTTTATGCTCTTGAGAGGTTGCTCTCACAGAGGGATAATGTTCTCACAAAGCATTCCTTCATGTAATGAGAGAAAAGTAGGTTGAAATGCAGTACGTGCACACACACACACACACACACACACACACACACACACACACACACACACCACTACATTTTGGGCCTCTTGGGCCTTCAAAACTGTACATACTTGGGTGAGTACAAAGCAGAATGTGAGAAAAAACATGAGATTACACATACTGTACTTTGAAAACTCAGAGGGACATCTTGAATTTTAGAAGTATATTTTAGAATTGTACTTGACACATGATTGGTGACTTTGCATAATAATTAGTTCACTGTGACATTATGTTTACAGTTTAATTATCAGATCAAAATCATTGGCATAGCCATTGTCTTTGTTATTTTGCATTCTTTTGTACTGGAACATTCTAAATCCTTTTATCAGAGATTTTAGAATACACAGTTAATCATCATCAATGGTGGATATTTATTGAACTGCGTTCTAAGACCTCAGAAGCTAATGCTTCCTATCCAAGTTCACTCTGTGCCTGTTAATCATTTTCTCCTTACCTTTCCCCCTATTTTTCTTTTCTTTTCTTTTTTTTTTTTGTGACACAGGAACTATTATATAGCCCAGGCTGCTCTCAAATTTGAGATCCTCATGTCTCGGCATCCTGACAGCTAGGATTACAGACATGCAACACCAATCCTGGCTTAATTCTTAGCATTTCATTAATAAATAGTAATTATGGAACATATAATGTATATTTTTAAGTGGTCTTAGGTGTTTGAAAGCCAGCTAGTAATACACACACGCACACATATATCTGTCTTTCTTTCTTTTTTGTATGGAACCACACAGATCATTGCTGCCTCATTTGCTTGCTATTGTACCAACATGGAAAACACATATGGATTAGAAGTAGTTGGACACATTCCAAATGGGTAATGTAGACTTTCTTTTAATATGTCTTTATCTGAGTGTTTGTTTTTGGTGTTCAAAGGGCCTGGGCCTGGGTACGTATGGATTTCATTTCTTTTTGTGGCTGTATGAGGCAAAATTCTAATTAATTTTTGTTATAAATGACAAAACCAACATGTGGAGAAAAACAGTAATTTTTTAGGTTATAAGCTAACCTGTTATTAAATAAGCATGTAATTGTCTTATGCAGCATTGCTTCAAGTAAAAGATTCCAAAAGTATTTGCAAAGACATGGCTAGAAAAATAATGGAGGTGGCTAAATTTGCAAATTTCTGGACTTGGTCCAACTTAATTCCTCAGCCACACATGTTCTTGTGGTCATTTTTCTTTCACTAAAGTTATGATAAATGTAAGCAAGCATCCTGTGGAACTGGAAACTGGGCCTGAGTAGAGAGTTATAGAGAAGGGTAGGGTAGAGCTGGCCTGGCTCCCCACCTCTCTCTAGTTTTCCACTAGGCTGCAAGAGAATGTTTCCCATATATAACATCGTAAAGGACAAACGTCCTTCCAAAAAACAGCCTGACAAGGAGAGAAAAATGGGCACCTTAGGACTTAGTCCCTTCTTCTAGGCTGTATAACACAGATGAGTAAAAATTTTGAGACAAAGTTAAGAGTAGTTGGGTCTTCTATATTTTATTTTTCACCCCTTAAAACAAAGAAATAATAGAAAAATTCTTAGAAACTAAAAAAGATTAATTTTAAGAAATCCTGTGTTTACTGGCCTATGCAAATGCAGGTAAAGGAGGGTTTCCTCAATCAACCCTAGTTTCCTAAAGGTTCCCTGCCTTTCCTTTGAAAGCCAATGAATTGTTTCTTCTTCAGTCCTGTTGTTATTAATTACATTTTAATAATGAAATAAGAGTTCCATTTCTTTATTTCAAGTTTTGTATGATATGTATCTTAGCAAGCATGTTCATAAAAATCTGTTTTGAGAATAAGGGTTAGTAAGTGGGTAACAAAAATTCGTGACTGTCTTCCATCTATCCTTGTTCACCCTTACTTGAATTCCCTTTCCAGAAGCACTCTTAAGAAATTGCAAAAACACATGGCTTTGAAAACCAAGAAATGAGATCAAAGCCCAGTTCAGCTGTTCCCCTTGTAACCTTCCTCCAAACATTTTCTCATCCCTACAGTGTTTGTGGTGTACTTGATTTGGGGTTGTTGGGAAAATTGAATGAAACAGTTAATGAGAAAGAGCCCACACTCTACTCACACCCTAGATAGTAAGATACCAACCAGTATGAAATCACTTCCCCCTTTTCTTTTCTTTTCTTTTTACCACAGGGATTCTTTGGGTGTGTGTGGGGGGGATAAGTCTCCCAAAATGATAAGGGATACATAAGTGGTCATTTGGCTTACATGGTTTTCAAGGGACAATAAGACATAATGGCTGGGTATTATCTGAGAAATGTTTTAAAGACTTCTTTGAAATGAAGTTAAGTGTGGCTATTTTGCAATAGAGAGTAGATGAGCTCTTCCTACATATTTTCTTTAGTTTGTGTAAGCCATGATTAACTGTCTCATGAAAGGATTGAGTTAAAAAGGTAATTACCTTAATGAAGTCAACGGCATATTTGGAGATTAGCCAACAGTAAGGTAAGCTAGTGTTTGCCTGAAACTCTGCAGCATTCAAGGGGGGATATCCAGCTCCAGTGCCAGCCAAATAAATATTTGGAAAAGTTCAAATGAAACGAAGGCCCAGATATGCTTTTGTTTCCTACAAGAAACTTTTGTCAAGTCAGAATTTCTGCGGTATGACCTGAATTCCCTTGACGTGAGTGTCAGCTAAATGCATGGGGCTCTCCCTGTGGTGTTTCCTACAGTTTTGCTTCTCTGCTAAATAATGGTGAAATAACAGGTCTTCTCCGGAAAAGAGTGCTTAGCTTTTCCCTCGGGGGTTTCACGTATTCCATGTAAACTTTAGAAACATTATTGCAGTGGAATTCACCGTGAGTTGTTACAGAAATGACAGGAAGGTTGGTGGCTTCAATCCAGTCTCCCTCTCCATAGGATTCCTCCACCCCATGCTCCACCCATGAACATCCTCTCTGCAGTGCTCACGGAAGCTTTTGGAGTTGCGCTTGTAGGCTACGTGGCCTCACTGTCTCTCGCTCAAGGATCTGCCAAGAAGTTCAAATATTCAGTTGATGACAACCAGGTAGAGTGTGCCCCCAGCCCCTCTCTAGCCAGTGTGTTTTACTGCTCCGTAGACACTTAGATACTGAAAAGGTCAAATGTTTGAAAATACAACCTTTCTAATGTGTAGCAAGACTGGCCAGAAGAAAGCAGTAAAGTCTCCGAGTCATTCCCGGAAGCTAAGAGTCTATTGTTCCCAGCTTATAATACATTAATTTGTTCATTCCCTCCTTTTATTTGCATGTGTGTCAGAGGGCAGCCTCCAGGATTCAGTTCTTTTCTTCACAGTGTGGGTCCTGGGATGGAATGAGATCATCAGGTTTTGAGGCCAGTGCCTTCACCTGCTGAGTTATCTCATTGACCCTTAAAACACATTTTTAGAAACATACACCTTCATGTTCTTTTATTTGGTTTTAGGAGAGTCACCAAGCGTATTTGTCATTTCATGACACATAACTAATATGTCGACACTACATGTCGACTTCACACTACAGGGTGTGAAGTCCTGTTCCTGCGTACTTGAGAGTGCGTGCACACTTGTTTCCTGAATCTGTTTCTCCTGATATCTTTGTGATGCCTCAAGGCCCCACACTGCTCTGTGGGCCTGCACAGAAGCTGCAGTGTACTGCCTACAAGCCCACTGCCACCTGCACACAGAACTCATGCTGAGGTTATCGGCCTCAGTTCTCTCGGGATATGTGAATATTAAGCCCTGCTATAGGTTCCAAGGATAAAATAATGAACTACTTTGATGAATGTTTTCATCCACTCAGAAACTCTCAGGGCCTTCCTCCTTTCACGCTCAAATCACAGACCTCATTGCCATGACTTACACGGCTGTATGTCTTCAGGATCCCATTTCTTATCTGGTCTCTTATGATATGTCCTGGCCACACTTTCTGTATCTTCTTTGAACTCACTAGTCGGGATTCCGGCTGGAGAATTTTGCACTCACAGTTCTATTTCCTGTGAATCCTGCCCCCTCACACATCTGTACAACTTTCTCATTCAGATCCTCACTTCACAGGAAGACCTCTGTTGACCAGACTCCTCACATCCAGGCCTCTCCGACACCCTTTTCTACTTGCTGTCTATTTGCTGTCTATGTTTTCTTGTCAGAACCACATCTCTCCGAGGCCAGAGATGATTGTTTACAGTAACTGGTGCCAATAGGGGCAGGCAGGGTGTTAGGAGGCATTTTCATTTATCCAGTAGAAACATGGTGACTGGAGCAGGCCCTGGTGAGGAAAAGCCTATGTGGATGCACACTGGATTGCATCTGGAGTTTCTGGGAAGAATCATGTACAGTTGGGGGCTAGACATGGGAGGATGTGATTGGGATTCGAGGGCCCTGTAGACCAGTTACCGAGTTTTCATTAGCCATCAAATGTGAATGCCAAATAACAGGTTGGATATGGGAGTCTGAAGTTCAGGAGAGGAGTCCACGCTGAAGATGTAAATGCGGGAGTTGTCCGTTTATATCTGTGTAGTTAAGATGTAGATACACAAGGCAAATAGTCCTACATTGGCAACTGGTTAGATAACAAAGGAAACTGAGAAGTGACAGCCAGAAAGCTGGAGGGAAAATTGGAGTGTGAGGTCTGAGAAGTCACTGGAAGGGATCTTTAAAGAAGGGTGAAATAAGTAACTGTGGAAAATGCATCTTTATACCAGGTAAGGGAAGAAGGAGTCACTGGAGTTAGTCAGGCAGAAGTTGTGAGGAAAGGGTGGGAACAGAACTCTGACTGGGGTGACTGAGAATATAGACATGGACAATGGAAATCATGAGTAAAGAGAAATTTCTCACAAGTTTATTGTCAAAGATGAAAGAGTGATGTGCTCAGAATAGTCTTGGAGGATGACAAACAGTCAACGAACATTGACTATTTTTATTATAAACTGTTGCATCTCAGCTGATGAGAAGAATAGTAACTGAGCATAAACAAGCTTCATTCTTTGACAAATTGTACCTGGGACTCTAGAAGGGGACTGTGATAAAGAAATGTTCTATTCTCCCATAACTAATCTTGCAGGAATTTTTGGCCCACGGCCTCAGCAATGTGATCCCTTCATTTTTCTTCTGTATCCCAAGTGCTGCTGCCATGGGAAGGACGGCTGGTCTGTACAGCACAGGCGCAAAGACACAGGTAACAACCGTTCTGCAGGGAAAGAGGGACTGTGGGGCCGCCATCCCTTCTCAGACTAGAAGAGAGAGGTACCGAGCCTTGAAAATGTTGCTAATTTGTATTTTCTAAGCAGCTTCTAGAAACCCTCCCTCCCTCCCTCTCCTGCTCCCTCTTTCCCATTCTCTCTCCCCCTCTTTTTCTTATCTTTCCCCATTAATGACTTTCCCACAGGCTCAATGATTCAAGGAGCAAACTGCTGAATTCTGCAGCCAAGGCAGCTTTATTTTATTATTAGCAATCTTGAAGCCGGGGCTCCATCTAGTGGTGTCTCAGTTAACCTAACCAGTCTCGATGACTTTTTCTTTTTCTTTCTTTTTTGTTTTCTATTTGCTTACTTCCTTGAAATAAAAGATAATCAAGTCTATGCAGAATCAGTTCTCGACACTAACATTGCATGTATAGCAATGAGCAAATGTGCCAAAGTACCATTCTATATATGTGAATATTTGGGATTAAAGAAACACTTGAGATATATATATATATAAAATTAGGAACTCAAAAGAATTCATTTTTTTTGCAAGCCTGATCTATATTAGGCATTATGCTGCATAATGGCAGAGTGATGATGATGATGATGATGATGATAGAGACGATGGTACTGATGGTGGTGGAAACAATATTGAATTATGTGTCAGGCATTGTGTGTCTAATTTTTTATATAAATGGACTCAATCTCTTAGGTAACTCATTGAAAGCTGTAAAATTGTTCTCTGTTTCTGTGTGAGAAAGTTGAGGGAAATGTGGCTGAAATAATTGATCCAGGTGTTGTGTACAAAACTTTTCCTAGGGAGACCCAACACACATACATCTACTCATCTCAGATAAGTATCCCACTACAGATCTATGTATGTACAGTGCAGATACCAACAAAGTCCAACTTGGAGAACTAATGATTTTTATTGGGGTTGCATATAATAATATGTGTGAGGGATTACTTACAAGAGCAGAAATGACTCAAAGATAAATGACAGCTCACAAAAGCTGGTAGTTGGGAACACACTGCACAGTCTGCAGGCAGGTCAACAGGTTGGGGAGTGTCCTTTCCACATGCCTCGGTTGGTCTAAACCTCTTGAAGTAGCTTAGCTAACTGGTTCCTGCTTCTTCCAGGCAGCTGGTCTGTTCTCAGGGTATTTGCAGCTTTGCTTGTCCGCAGCTGACTCTCTGCAGCTTTTATTGTTTACTCTTGGAAGGGAGGGGCCTAGTAAATCTTGTCAGTTTCAGGAGCTTCCTGAAGCTACTTTGAGTTGTTTATTTTCTGGCTTAAGGGCTTCTCTGAAAACTGCTATACAATACCAGGTCATAGACCTAGGGAATGGCAAATCTTGGATTTAAACTCAGATGATTGCACTCTTAACCAATGACCAATCAAGAAAATTGATGTATATAGTAAGAAATTGACAATAACAACTAACCATTATTCAACAATCCATTCATAAAATAAGAACTGAATGAGAATCCATAAACTATTTTATGTGAAAATTCAAACTTTTATTAGAGGTTTATCTTATATTTAATATAGTTTTTAAGCTGTAGAAAATGCATAAGAAAAGTGTAGATTTGCAACCTTGGGGGCAAGTACCAATATAAATACTGATAAATAATAAAGTAGTGAGTAAGACTGATACTGTTCACCATAGAGCAGAGGGACACACAACCATCAATTTTGAATACATTACAGTTTTGCAAATAATAACCATAACTTAAGAAGCAAAATTCTTATCTAAGCTTGGATTTCTGACATTCAAATATAGGTTCATAGTGTCTCTTGGTTGGCACAAACCTTTTTTTGTGAATTACTCTTAAATGTTTGTGATTGTTTACTTTCACGACTCCTTCCTGTAACAGTCTAGGCTTCTATAGATTTTCCCCAGGATCTCTTATAAAAATGGATTACCTTAGGTTGGTTATTTTCATGTTTAGGCTCAATGAATGAAAAATATTGAGTAGGTTCTAGAAGCTAGGCTTGGCTTCTGGTGCCATCACATACAGGTGGGTGGTCTTGCACCAGTAACTCAACTCCTCTAGCTTAATGGACTCAGCTGATCAAGGAGAATTTTAACTCTATAAAGATTAAACGAATCAATACATGCAGAACTAGTGAAACACCTAAGCACACAAAAAACCATTCTTGAAATGTCAATGATTGCAATTGATTTTATTACGGTTTTATTGTTTTTAAGTAAAGACACCTGTGTGGCTGGGATGGCCTTCTCCTAGGATGGTTTTTTCATCCTAGTTGGCCCTCACTTGCTGAGGGTGCTTGAGGAAGATGATAGTGTCACTGTCTTATGGACAAAGAGGCTGAAATACAGCCCTGAGGTGGCTTCACCACGATGTGTGCTCTCTCTGGCCTTAGGTGCTTTGCATGCATTTCTTATCCCTGTATCAGTGACAAGAAAACTCTGATCAGCCTTTGTAACTTCCAACATTGAATGCTTAAAAGAAAGAACACTTTAGAAAATTTGTCCTAAGTATACAATCTGAGCAGGTCAATAACATCATTTACTAGGATGGGGAAAGAGGGATTCGTTCTGGGGAGTTAAATGTTTGAACGGTTAGAACAAGAGAACATTTCTAAAGGCTTTTTACTTAATAAAGATTTTTTTCCTGCAAACTATGTATTGAACTTCAAAAGAAATGAATCTAGCAAAACACTAAAGCCCACCAGCAGAGTATTCTCTGGATAGCCTGCTTGCTGAGGTGAAAACTGCTTCCTAACCATGCCTGTCCAATTGTACAGAGAATCCAAACTAATGTGCATGCTCAAATTGAGGATGATTTGGTATCCATTTCAGACCTTTTTATGTTGTAACCTCTAAGTGTATATAGGTATAGTTGACAACTGGTGTGGCTGAGGAGAGTTCTAACCAGATCTCCAAAGTTTGGCTCTCAACAAGCTACTAGTGAAAGCCTTTTTCCACACATCATGACTTGACAGCGCAGGCCCTTCAGTGGCTCTGCCTCTCCTAGGCCCTGGAACGCATGCCCACTAAATTAACCTGGGACACATAGAAGGCCTTCAACTTTTTATCTAATTAATTACAACGCCTCAAAGCACAGGTGATAATCACATTACCCTTATTAATTACTTTACCACCTACAAGAGTTTCAGTATTCTCATAGGAATTCTTCACTGTGATATTTCTGTGTAGTTATCTATTTAAGGCTGGAGGTGTAGCTAATAGTAGAGCACTTGTCTGCTGTGCACAGGATTCAATCCCCAGCTCTACAAGCAACAGCAAAGAGCGATCTTTCTGATAAACCAAAAACACCATCATTTTATTTCTTCCTTCAGTCCCAGAAAAGGCTTTGCACAGTTCAGAAATGTATTTTTTTTACTCACTCTAGTGCTTTCTTAGACAAGCCTTCTCAGTCGCTTCGCTTTGCCTGCCTGCCTGTCTTTCTGTGTGTTTGTGGGTTGTCCATGTTCATGTGCGTGTAAATGCATGTGCATTTGCAGGTATACATGCCCATGTGTGCAGAGACCAGAGGTCAACCCTGGGTGTCATTCCACGAGCACTTTTCACCTTGTTTTTTAGAGACAGGGTCTCTTGTTGGCCTGAATCTTACAAAGTAGGTTAGGCTGCCTGGCTAGTGAGTTCCCAGGATCCACTGTCTCCTCGTCCCTAGCACTGGAATTATAAGTGTGTGCCACCATGCCCAGCCTTTGTGATGTGGGTTCTGGGCATCAGAACCCCAGCTCTTTTGTTCACATGCCATGGACTTTACCAGCTGAGCTATCTCTCCAGCCCAGGGATCCAGTTTGCAATAGTTCATCCTCAAGAACCCTGTTGTCTGCTGAGAATTTGGTCAGACAGACCAAAGGCAATGTGTGTGGTCATTAATAAAATTTAAACGTATTGTAGTACATTGTTGTTGTAAAGATTCTATTTAAAATCAGATATTTGATCACATACTTTAAAGAAGTCCTGTTCAACAGAAATATAATATGAGCTACCCAAGTAATTTAAATTACATAGTGACCACATCTTAAAAAAGAAAACCTATTAAAATTGATTTTAATACATTTTAACTTGCCTAATATGATAAAATTATTATAATTTCAACATGGATTAAAGAACTATATACAATATTGTTTTTGTATTTTTTCTTCAATAAAGCTTAGGAATCTGGTATATATTTTACATGTGCAGACTAATCTTAATATGGACTAGTCACATTTCAAGTACTTAGGAGCTAACATGGCAGGGAATCTGGGACTATTTTAGGTAAGTGAGTAGAAGGCAAAGACTTCAGTGTTTCAGAAATCTAATTGAATTGTTTAAATAGGAATAATAAAAGACACTTGATCAGTCAGTAGCAAGTGCTGTAGTCAAAGATAGACACACACACTCATCCTCCGTGTGTGGAAGTGCTCTTAGCTGTGCTCTCCTTGTGGATCTAAGAACAGCCTTTGGGACAGTAAGACAAACAGCACAAGTGAACACTGTTTCTTATTTCCCTCCTGTCTGAACTGGAATGTTAACTCTGGGCGGGAGCTCAGTGTCCCCTGGCTCCCTCTCCTGCACGCTTCTCTTCACTTCCAACAGCAGAGACACATCAGTGCTTTTCAGGGTCTTCAGGAGGATCACAGAACCATGAGGGATGCCAGACAGCATCTGCTGCAGAGGCGATGCAGCCCCAACTGAAACAACAGCTGGCAAGCTGTTTGGCAACGCTAAGATTGCCTCAGGGCTCTAATTTGCAAAACTGAATTCCTTTTATTCTTCTAGAAGTAGGCTCATTGCTTGCATCTTCTACAAGGTCTTAATTTAGCCTTGTTGCCTAGTGTCCTGCTTCTTATTCTTTCTTCCTGCTCTTCCCTATCTCTTTTATGATTTCACCACTTTTCATAAATCTGTGCATCATTTGACCTCTGCTTGGGAAGCAAACAATTGTGATCTGTTCTTTCCAAGTAAGTATTGTGTATCTACGGAGGACACTAATACCTTTAGTGGTCATCTTTGTAAGTAATGAGCAATATATATTGGTGCTACTGAGACTGACAACACAGATTAAATGCTACACTTCTTCATCCCCTCAGCCCTGTGAAACAGAATTTATATGTAATGTTTACACACACACACACACACACACACATATATGTACATATGTATATAACCTTGTAATAAAACATGAAGAAAATAAAGATTTCATTAACTTTTATGCAGACTTAACTCTGAGACATGTCTACTTAAAATTTTAAAACAAAAACTATCATGAGGCATTTAGCCAGCATGGCATGGAAAGTATTGAAGAGGAAAATATCTTGTGGATGGTAAGAATGTGAACGCTTGCCTTGGGCATTTGTAGCCTAAATCTTTCTAAAGCTTACTGAGGACTTACTTAGGCACTGTTTCTTTTCTGACAGGAAAAAGAAACAAATTGACTATTATTAGTGAAGAGCCTCAAGGAGTTGATTTTATTTATCACTAGTTAGCTGTGTAGTTTTTATAGCATCGTTAGTAGACTGTAATCTAACCAGGAACTTCAAAAAATAGTTCTGAAAACCCCTGACTTGTGGAACTGCCTCACTTTGAACAAGGCCAAATTGAGGTGATTATGTGTTCACACAATCCCCATTGCCGGTGCTGGGAACCAAACGCTCCGCTTTAAATCTGAGACACCATCTAAAATTAGAAGAGTGATACATGTCCCACTTCAGTTCAAGGAGAAAAAAGGGACACACTGTTAATAAATAAAACAAAACTCAACAAGTAAGCAAATCCTTGAAAATCCAGCGTTTTTTGCATTGGGCTTGGTGTCATCCGACTTAGTGTTAGTGTTTAAAACTATTAAAACCAAGATTGTCACTTGATCTCCTCTAGAGAGGGGTGAGTGGGAAACAGAGAGATCCTCCCGCTCCCGCTCCTCCCTGCTGCTCTGCAATATCCCTATCTTCCTATAAATTCAGACTTTCCCACCACCAGCAATTCTTGACAGGAGTTAGAAGAATTTCCCAAACATGTCTGCTTGTGCTAAATTAAGCTTTCACTTAAAAATAAGGGAGTTGGGCTGGAGAGATAGCTCAGCAACTTAGAACACTGGCTGCTCCTCCAGAGGACCACGGTTCAATTCCTATCACCCACCTAGTGGCAGCCATCTGTAAGTCCAGCTCCAGGAGATCTGACACTCTCTTCTGGCCTCCATGAGCACCAGGTCCGTAGTGCACAAACATATATCCAGAGAAAACATCCATACACATAACATAAATAAGATTTAAAACAGTTGGTATTACCTTCTTACATGCCACTTCCCTTCTCCCTGACCTTGGATGAGTCACCCATCTCCCTGTGTCTCAGATCCTTCCTGGGTATGTTGACTTGAGCTTGGATTCATTTCAGCTCCAAGGACTGAATTTGTTTGCAGGTGCATTGTAAGTGTTGGATTGAAAAAGTCCCATGGAGAGGACAGATATCTTTGACATTTTACCTGAGATAAAGCTACAGTTAGCGTAGTTTCCTGTCCATTTAACCATGTGTCTACTAATACAGTCCTGTTCTAATCCAAGAGAATGTCTGACGAGCCGAGTTATCATCATGCCCCTATTTTTTCGACCCCTCCTGCCACAGCAGGTCCTCCAGAGGCAGCAAGTTCGAGACCATGCTGGCTGGCTCCAGGTGTGCTCAGGCATACCAGCAGTTGTTTCAGATGCATTCAATTTCTCCCTGTAAAATCAGGCTTCTAGAGGTTTATTAGCTCTAGTAAACACCACGAATTTTTATGTAAAGCTCACTGTATCAACACAACTATATTTCTGTTATTTCAAAATAGGCATTTCCCCATGTCTAATTATATTTAACTTTTAGTGCCTACCTCCATCCCCTGGCAGCCTATGATTTTTCTCTTTTAAAAATTGTCATTGGTACAGAATTGTATCTTTTGTGTCTAGCTTCTCTTATCACAGTGGTTTTGAGTCTCACACATTTGCTTTATACTGCTGTTTGGAGGATGTTCTATAACCTGTCCATTCTTTCTAGGTCTCTGGTAAGTGTGTGTATAACTCTGTCCAACAAACAATGGTATCCAAGTACCTGCAGTTGCCACAACAGCATTGTTGGAGACCTTCAACTGCCCTTGCCAGATTTTGAAATTATTTATTATGTATTTAATTTAAATTCAAGCCTTTCCAGTACAACAAAATTCATCTTCATAGTGAATACCTTTAAGGACCAGTGAAAGGCCTCTTATGATGGCAGTCTGGCCAAATGTTTTTATGGAGTCAGGGACTTCTGCTTCTGGGAAATCAGGATCTCTGTCATTGCTATGGGAGGCAGGTGGTTCCTTTTGATCTTTATCAGCAGGCCCCATGGGACAGAATATGATCCTAAAGACTTCTTGGGATTAGTAAAATCAAGCCTTTTGCTCTAGCAGAGACTGCTCCTGCAACCCCATCTGACCACTTCATTGCCAGAGTTTCTTGTGAGGAACGAGAGAGAGAGAGAGAGAGAGAGAGAGAGAGAGAGAGAGAGAGAGAGAGAGAGAGAGAGAGGAGAGAGAGAGAGAGAGAGGAGAGAGAGAGAGAGAGAGAGAGAGAGAGAGAGAGAGAGAGAGAGAGAGAGAGAGAGAGAGAGAGAGAGAGAGAGAGAGAGAGAGAGCACTTTGGGACAAATGTGTTATTAACAGAAGAAAACGCCAGGCTGTGAATTCTTCAATGGTTACCCACATGACCTACTAGAAAATAATGAGTGGAGTCAGGCTGTAGGACTTTCCTCAGAAGTCTCCCTCTCACTTGCAACCAGCCACCGCTGTGATGTGCTGCGCAAATAAATGGCGTCCTGTTTGTGTGTGTGCATGTGTGTGCACACACATGTGTCAGTCTCATCACTGACTTCGTTTGGTTGTACCAGTTTGTCAATTATCACATTTGATGTCTCTTCACTGAAAAACACAGATAAGGACAGTCCATGCAATTTAACAATATGCCAACATTTTGTTTCTTGCCCCTATTCCCATAGCTTTGAAATAACAATAGAGTTCAAGGCTTTCTTTTTTGTCTGTCTTGTATTTTACAGGTGGCTTGTCTAATATCTTGCCTTTTCGTCCTTGTTGTCATCTATGCAATAGGACCTTTGCTGTACTGGCTGCCCATGGTACAGTAGTGCTTTTTTATGATATACTTCTTGACCTTTAATTAGAATTATTGTGCACTAAATATTCTGGGAGAATAAATTCAATAATACTGAATCTGGAAATCATTTTACTTAAGTGAACATTGAGTATAAGGAAAAATAGAAAAAATACCACATTTCACGAGGGAGAAAGGGAAGGAAATGGTGACAGTCCTCTGGCTCATCAGGGCGAAGTAGAAATAATCTCATGAAAAGTAGACTTCTGAGACTCGGGGTGTAGCTCCATGGTAGAGTACTAACTGAGCATGCACAAATTCCTTAGTTTGATCCCCAGGTGAAAAGAGAGAGGCTTTCAAAGAATTTTGCAGAATCTGGGCTGGAGGACAAAATCCATTTTCACAGCATAGACACATCTTTTATTCAGTGGGCCTCCACACTGGTGCTTCACCTAACCCATCCTAAGTCCTGGGCTCCCAAGCAATCCCAGCTGCCATCCCAGTCTTAGCCTCCAGTGTTCTAAGTCCTAGTTTTTCAAGGAAGAGGCACCATTCCATAAGACAACTGCCTAATACTCAAGTTCATTTTTCACAGGTATAAATATCTATAGGTGAAACAAATCACTACTATTAGGACCCATGTAAAGAAATATATGAGATAAATGTATGATTTCTGTAACAAACGTATTTCAAATAAAATACAGTGACTTTAATAGAAGGACCCCCAGCCTTGTGACAGTCACCCTCATAACTCAGTTTTTCTTTTTCTTATCTGTTCTCTTCAACTTGCAACAGTTTTGCCCATGAGTTCCTAAAATTGGTGTTGTATCCCTAAAGCACAAAATAAGTTAATTTTGAACAAGCAAATATTACTTTAACCTAATTGGTGACAGCTTTTCTCTACAATTTACTTTTAGAAAAACAACCAACAATACCTTGGTGCCTTTAAACTCACATTAAAATCTTTGTTCTGCTTCTCCCCAACTTATTTTTCCTTTGCAGTGCGTTCTTGCAAGCATTATTGTTGTGGGACTGAAGGGAATGTTAATACAGTTCCGGGATTTAAAAAAATACTGGAATGTGGATAAAATCGATTGGGTAAGTAGCAGTTTGACCAGACATTTCCTCTTTGGCTTAAGCACATGCTACCAAATATACTATAATACTTTCATTGGCAGGAAGCACAGTTAACCATTTGAGACTTGGGTATGCCCAGTTAGATTTTCACAATTTGAATGAAAGCATGAAATTTTTTTCTTATTTCGATGACTACATAATTTGAAAAATTTCAAAGATATACTAGCTAATTTGAGTGGATTGAGGGTTCCAGTTTAAATTATGGATTGATTTTGAAGGCAGGGCTTACTGAGGAAATGCACACTGAGAAATATGATGACTTATTATGTGCATGAAAACCCAGCTTTAAATGTATGATATGTGGATACAAGGTGGATCTCAATGGTGTCTACATTAATGCCAAAAAGTCTTACAGCTTGTCTTCCAAATGGATTAAATCGTGGGGAGGATTACATTAATAAGATATCTCTGGGAACAGAACAGATTAGATAACACTAAACACTGAGAAAGTGTGTTTTGGCTAACAGAAGTATTGAATGTACTTACATTCTAGAGAAACTAGCCTATGTAAAAGTGTCCCCAAATATCCTCCCACTCTCCAGGGTGAGTGAAGAATTTCATGAGTAGCCTCTGTTCCGCCCTACACGGCACTCGTCCTATTGAAATGTCATGACCTACATTTTCTCTTTTGATCCTTTGTGCTATGAAGCTTTTGGGCATACACTGGTGCTTACTTTCACAGTATTGCCTCTGTGACTCTTCGCACAGCACACGGCTGAGTCCATGAGGGATGCATAGACTGATGAAGACTTGACCTGCTTGATACCATTTGCGCAGGAAGAAGGCACAGAAACATAAATTTATTGTTTGCCATAAGTCTTTTTTAAAAAACTGGTTCAAGAGTCCTTTGTCTCTATTTTGTGTGTCATTTTCAAGTAGTTTCCTAGGAATTCTCATGGAGTTTATATTCCCTGAGTCATTTCATTTTGAAAATATTGCTCATTTTGTATATCATAAGAAAATGTCTAAAATGCTTTCCCCAGGCTCTTCTAGAGCCTGCTGTATTTTCAGACATTGATAGATTAAGTAGAGAAGTCAACATAATTCTTGTATTTTATGTGAGCATGCGTCTCTAAATTAACGCTCCATGACCTTTATTCTTCCTGCCCACAAAATTCAGTAGCATCATTTTTGACTATGTTCTGTGGCTTAGGGTACAGTATAAAACTACTGTAAACCTCAGGTTTGACCTCAGGGTAGGAACTGGTTACAAAATGTTTCTCTTAACCTGTACTTGAATATTGTTCTGCAAATATATGTTCTGCCTTCTCCTTAATGAACCATGAATTTATCGGTATTTTTATTTACTTTTTATTTTTTCTGTGTGCAGGGTCTTTAGCTTGCTTTTGTATGCTCTATTATGTATGTCCAGTTATGTTTATCCTGCTTTGCAACTTTAAATACTGTTTTTATATGAATACTGTTTTGATTTAGAGTCAATTACTTTATTTAGTTTTTCCAGATTGCTTTTTTTTTTCATCTAATTTTATCTTTTTTAAAAGAAGTAAGTGTGTGCTTGGATTTCCATGTGTATCATTAGTTTTTCTCCCCTTCATTACATGTCCAAATCTATTCTTTGAATCTGTTTCAGGTTTCTCTTTCTTTCTCTCTCATTGGCTAGGTCTCAGTGATTCTTTTAGGACTAGAGTCAATGCGGTAGCAGCAGGATATGGCAAGTAATCAGGTACAGCCTACAGTTCTGATTTAGGCATGTCTGCTTAAGATGTGTCCCTAGCTGAGCAGTAGCTTTAGAAATGACAGGATGCTTGGGGATCTAACACTGTCACTTCTGCATTCTCTGTCTTCCTTCATCTCTAACTGTGACAGTCGTTTTGGTTGTCAAAGTGAGTGAACTGAGAGCACTGAGATTAGTAAAGTATAACTCTAGGTGTGTCTGCCATGCTGTTTTCAGAGAGGATGAACTGAGATGGAAAGACCTGTGCTGAATGTGGAATGGATCCCCAAGGCTGGGGACCAGGTGAAGAAAGAGGAAAGGCCATCAATAGTCATTTTGTCTCAATAACGTGAAGTGCATTTGTATGCCACTACCTCGTGTTAAAATACAGTCAAAGCATAGCATAAAAGGAATCTATAAAAGAAAAAATATCTTAAATGAGAAATAAATGTGTTTTTAAAACCCAAACTGTACATAAGATATAAACCTGCCAAATACTCAGAAGTTTGGATGATAATCCAGAAAAGCATGGGAATCCCACAATTTATCCTCAGTTTTCAATCCACTGTAGTCTTTCAAGGTTATCAGAATCTTGAAAGGTCTTTACAATAATTCTTTGGTAAGAGTCAGTAGGGACAAGAGCTTTTAAATTTTCTGGTTGAGGCTGGCTCACCAGAGAAGCAGTGAACACACACCAGCAGACATGCATTTGATAACATCAAACCTGCCATTTGTGTCACTCAATCTTGTTCCCAACCAGAGAGGAACTACTGGTGTTTTCATTGTCGTTGTGACAAAGTCCTAGAGGAAAACACCCCAGAGCAGAAAGGGTTTATTTTGATTATGGCTTCAAGGATATGTCTCAATAACGTGAAGTGATTTACTTTGCCATACCCACAACAACACCATGACCTGAAATCCTTGAAGCCATAATCAAAATAAACCCTTTCTGCTCTGGGGTGTTTTTCTCTAGGACTTTGTCACAATGACAATGAAAACACCAGTAGTTCCTCTCTGGTTGGGAACAAGATTGAGTGACACAAATGGCAGGTTTGATGCAGTCTGAGCTTATCAAATGCATGTCTGCTGGTGTGTGTTCGCTGCTTCTCTGGTGAGCCAGCCTCAACCAGAAAATTTAAAAGCTCTTGTCCCTACTGACTCTTACCAAAGAATTATTGTAAAGACCTTTCAAGATTCTGATAACCTTGAAAGACTACAGTGGATTGAAAACTGAGAATAAATTGTGGGATTCCCATGGTTTTCTGGATTATCATCCAAACTTCTGAGTATTTGGCAGGTTTATATCTTATGTACAGTTTGGGTTTTAAAAACACATTTATTTCTCATTTAAGATGTTTTTTCTTTTATAGATTCCTTTTATGCTATGCTTTGACTGTATTTTAACATGAGGTAGTGGCATACAAATGCATTTAATGGATGATATAAACCCAATATGCAAATCTCTTAGAGAGGCACACAAGGAGTTTACAATGCTGATTCCAGAAGCAGGCACCTAAGCAGGAGGCTGTTGGATAGAATAGAGAGGAATGGTAAAGTGTGAGGCAGGGGATCATCAGTGAGCTGAGGGTGGTTTCCAGTCGTTTTTGTTATAATTGAGAGACTCGGAGAAGAGATTGGACAGGGAGTTGAAAGAGCAAAAAGAGTGGGTGAGGTGTGATTCCAAGGCTGCTGACTACAGTATGTTTGTGAATCTTAGTTTTATTGCTGAGGAAACAGTGGAGGAAGAGCTGATTTGGAGATAAAGCTAACAAGTATGTACTTGGGCATGTTGAGTCTGAAAGAGTCTTTATTAACAATTTTAAAATGGTTTAAGAACTTGGAATTATTGACTAGTGGGATAGCTCAGAAGGTAGTCACCTGCTATGCCAAGCCTGATGACTTGAGTTCAATCCCCAGGCCCCACATGGTGGGAGGAGAGAACCAACTCTTATTACTTGTCCTCTAACCTCCACACGGGCACTGTGACACCCCCCCCCATAAATAAAATGTATAAAAAAATCAAAAAGGAAATTAGTCGTGTACTGATTGGAATTGATCTTGAAACCCTGGAATTAGGAGGCATTACGGTATAGACAGAGCGGGTTGAAAAGGTGACATGGACATAGGAGACATACTGTCATTCAGTGGGCATTGTGTTGGCGTCCCATCATGTACTACGGTTGGAATGAACTGATATACCTCCTTTTAAATGTTTAAATTTTGTTTTTAAAGTTTGTTTTATGTTATGGATATTTTGCCTGCATGCATGTCTGCACACCATGCGCTATGGCCAGCTGAGGCTATACAAAGATGTCAGATCTCCTGGAACTGGAGTTACAGACAGTTGTGAGCGGCCATGTGGCTGTTAGAATTGAACCTGGATCCTTTAGAAGATCAGCCAGTGCTCTTAATCACTGAGCCCTTTCTTAGCTTTGCTTCATATATATATATATATATATATATATATATATATATATATATATATATATATATACACATTTCTTAGCTGCTTCACCAAAGATCAGTGGTGTGTGTGTGTGTGTGTGTGTGTGTGTGTGTGTGTGTGTGTGTGTGTGTAATATAACTTAAAGCAGTGGTTCTCAACCTGTGGATTGTGGCCCCTTTTGCAAACTTTTATTTCCCAAAATATTTACATTATGATTCACAACAGTAGCAAAATCACAGTTATGAAATAGCAACAAAATCATTTTATGTTTGGGGGTCACCACAACATGGGGAACTGTATTTAAGGGTCATAGCATTAGGAAGGTTGAGAACCACTGATTTGAAAGTATAAAGTTCAAAGATTATGTAAAAAGTCACCACTTAAAAGAAACAGAAGTCAGCCAGGTGGGGGGTGGTGGTGCACACCTTTAATCCCAATCCTCTGGAGGCAGAGGCAGGTTAATTTCTATGCATTCAAGGCCAGTTTGATCTACAGAGAGAGTCCAGGACAGCCAGGGCTTCATAGAGAAGCTTTGTCTTGGAAAAAAAACAAAACCCAAACCAAACCAAACAAACAAAAAAAAACCCCTAAGCACCCCCAAACCCCAGAAGTTTCTTGTTTTTTTTTTTCCGTTTTTTATTCCCCACAGTTTTAGATTGATTCAGAGTTTGGTGTAAAAAACCCTGCAGAGAAGTGAGGAAATAGGACTCTAAACAAGAGTTTCACTCACAGGTTTTGAACTGAGTTGAGAAGCTGATCAGATATGTATATAATTTCAATGGTGTGGACCCATCATCCCAGCGGATAGCATGCCATATCAGATGTATATAATTTCAATGGTGTGGACCCAGCAGATAGCATGCCATATCAGATGTATATAATTTCAATGGTGTGGACCCATCATCCCAGCAGATAGCATGCCATATCAGATGTATATAATTTCAATGGTGTGGACCCATCATCCCAGCAGATAGTATGACATATCAGATGTATATAATTTCAATGATGTGGACTCATCATCCCAGCAGATAGCATGCCATATCAGATGTATATAATTTCAATGGTGTGGACCCAGCAGATAGCATGACATAGGTCAGGGGAGTGAAGTAAGTCAGTGGCTGCTAAACTATTTTCACTGACTTATTGTCTTTAAGGAACAAGAACAGATGTCTCCTACAGTTCGGGCAGCTTGGAGGTTAACCTGTGTTTAGGGGTTATGGATCCCAAGCAGTTCTCTCAAAAAGAGTGTGAGAGATAAGAGCTCACCATTTCCTGATATCTGTAATGTGTGACTGATATCTGGGCCTTTATAACAGGAATTGTTACAGAACACTGTTGAGAGTAGTTTATTATTGATTTACATTTGATATTAGCTATAAAGTAACCACAGGAAGTTACTAATCACTTGTAGAACCTGATCTACAGAAGATGATGCTGTGGGTGTAGAGCTGTATGTTTTAGATATGACTATATAACCTGGAGTAACCATAGAAACCCTGAAAGTAAAACAAGACCATGCTGGGGTGCTCTAGACAGGGAACAGTAGGACACTGGTGCTGTTAAGAGGGAAATGGGAAAGCCAGAGGGGATATAGTTGGGAGGTAATGAGGGAGGACGGTACAGAGAGGAAAGAGGGAAGGAGTTTAAAATTATGGGAGAGCTAGATAAAGGCAGGTAGATGGAGAGAAGGGAGTGAGTTGGATAATGCTTCCCTCCAGAGCCACAGACTATCAAACAAAAACCCCAGTGCCAGACATGGGAAACTTCCTGCGGTTGTTGGCCAGAGGAGTCCAAGAGACTCCCAGAATAACAGTCTATTGTCCTTATACTTGGTTGCCTCCCAAAACTCGCAGGGAAGACCTGACTGCTAAAGATTCCACACACTTCAGATACAGGTCTCAGAGGAAACGAGGTGAAACTGAACTAGAAGCTTTTCTGCTAAGAACTAACTCTCATAGTATCCAAAGGTGCTATGCAGATGCTAGGGGGAAAAGCAATTGATAGACTCACCCAGCTGTAAAATCTATGAATTGCAACAATGACCAGCACGGCCAAGGTGTCCTCAAAGGTACAATAGCCATTTAGTTGGATTTAAGGCACACTCAATAGGAAGGGATTCATGCCTGGTACTGTAAACCTGTGGTTGGTAAGGTCATGGATCCTAGAGAAGAACCTACTACTGCCGTTTTCCTAAATAAATATCTCTAACCACCCCCTAAATACTTATCTTTACACCCACAGATAAGTGAATCTCTCACCCTCCCATCTGAAAATCTTCTTTCTGTAGCAGGTAAAGACTCTTATAGAAATCCTCAATTGGTCAAAATATGGAAAATAATGACTGTGGGGTGCCTAAAACCAGTTAATATCGGTGTTAGGTGTACAAGACAACTTGCACACCTAAGGCTCAGGGAAAAGTATAGGAGAGAGGGTAGAAGTATTGTTAAGAGCCAGAGGACCAGAATGCATCTGGTAGGTAATGATTTCTATATATGATAGGGAAGTTTCATCCATGAAATCGCAAAACAAGGACCTCACATGTCAAGGCCATACACCTAAATGAAGAGCTATAGTCAATGACCAATAAAGAGAGGGAGAATTAGTCTCCAAAGATGTACATCTTGGGTTATCCAAACCTCAGCCATCAGTCTTAAAAACCTATGCATATGAATAACGCTAAATGTACTCAGGAGTCTCTATTTATATGCATATGTAAAACAATAATTAAAGAAGGAGAGATCATGAGTTTGAAAGGGAGAGAGGAAACATAGGCAGAGTTGGAAGAGAAGAGGTAGAAGTGGATATGATGTAAACGCAGTGCTCATGTCTGAGATTCCCACAAAAATTAAATGAAAAAGCACAGAGCCAGCTGTTACTGCAATTGTTTGACTTGTCTAATGAATTCTGGTTTCCAGGCTCTGTTTTTTTTGTTTGTTTTGTTTTGTTTTTAATGACAAGATCCTAAAATCCCCAAGCCATTCGCCAGTTCTGGAGATTGGTCAGTAGAAGCGAGCCTCATGATGCTCTGGTGAGGGTCTGCCACACTCAGGCAGGCTCAGCACCTGAGACAGGGAGAGCTCGGAGTCATCATAGAAGTGGAAGTTGTGGTATAAAACTTGCAGCCCTATTTTGTATATGATTTAAATACAATGTCATAGATTAAAGGAAAAACAGTGTATAGAAATAAAGACCAAAAACACTGCCAGTTCACCTGAATTAAAGAGGAACAACTCTGTCCCAACCTATGAGATGGCAGGCTGGGTTTGATCTTGTAAGTCATAATCTAGAATTGTGTTTACAGGAATTAGTTACAAAAACAGAATCATTTAAAATATACTTTTTCTTTTACACCAGAATGTTTGTGTCTTTTATTGAAAAGGGGGGATTTTCCAGATAAAACTCCCTCCATTTGCTTCTAAGAGCTTAGCTTTACAAAACAGTGTATTTTGAACCAGGTTTTGGTAGATATACAAAAAAATTTCAAGTCTAAAATGCACTCTAGAAACATTTACTTCAGACTTGTCTAAGGAAAGTCCCTATATCCATTCCTCAAGATTTCTTTTTTCATTTCTAAATAAACAGTTTACATTTCTTTAAATACCAAGAACTTCACACAATGCATTTTGATTGTATTCACACCCCTGCCTCCAGCTCCTCCTGGATCTACCCTCACCAACTTCATGTCTGTTTTTTTAGGTCTATGGAGTTCAATTTGTGTTGCCTAATTGCTCTAAGAGTCGAGCTATTCCCCAGAGTGTGGTTAATCCACCAGGGGTCATACCCTTAAAGAAAACAGATTCTCGCCTCTCCTGGGAGCTATCAATTGCCCAAAATTCCTCCATCATGGGGTGGGATTTTATGCTTATCTCTAGTTGTTTGTCTAGTTTAAGCTTGCACATGTCTTGTGCATGCTGTTAAAATCGAGCTGAGTTTGTATGTGCAGTTGCCTTGTTGTGCCCAGAAAACAATTTTGTTGTGGCCATCCACTACCTGTGATTCTCACACTCTTTCCACCCCTTCTCATATAATCCCTCAGCCTTAGGAGGGGTGTGTAATACAGCTGTCACCAAGATTTTATGTTATCTTTAGGTTACAGAGTGGGTTTTCAATCTTTCACTTATGGATGGCATGAATTATGTTTTTGAAGGTACTCTAAAACACTGAAACAGAAAGAAAAAAGTTAGAATAGGATAGGCAAAATGGTGTGTGTTATTTGGGGAAAATAATTTGAAAATCATTCTTAGATTAGTATTTTATAAATATACAATTTTCTGTTTAGAAGTATAACCTTTCTAGATTTTGTAAATTATTTTTGTTTTTGAAGATATTTTTTGATCACTAAACTTAGAAATACCTGCTTTTTTACTTGTTGTGGTTATAATTTCAAGTGGTGGGTAAAATTACAATAAATTTAAAATTACAATTAAAAGAGAATTTATTTTCTTAAAAAACTTGGAATTTCTTCTAAGAATTAAGTCAGCTCTGACATTTTAGCTTTTTAGGAAGTGGCCCTTTATAAATAATGATCTTTCTAGGAGTTGATCTGAAATCATTGGTGGTGTTGGTTTATTCAGTTACTTTAACACTGGGCTTGGAGAACCTTATATAGTAACAAACTATATCAGTGTTTTATACAGTAATCATAGAAAATAGACTATTGTTAAGCATGACAAAAAAACACCCCTGCAAATAGTTGCTTTTAGTACTGTTTTTCAATAAGAAATAGTAGGAAATTACGGCATACTTTTGTGCATATACATATCAACCATTTACAGATCTGATATATACTATGTGGGGCTGGAACTAAGGGTTGGCAATCCAACAGGTTAAACAAAGTGCCTTTACTCTTCTCCCATCGAGAATATGATGGAGCCACAGTATGGTTCTGTATTTCTGGGTTTCTATTCACATTAAATAATATGTTCTTGCGCTGGTGAGATGGTTTAGTGGGTAAAGGCACTTGCTGCCAAACCCGATGACCTGAATTCGATCCCTGAAACTCACGTGGAGAGATCTGACTCTAATAAGCTTTCATCTGGCCTTCTGTACTCAACCCACATCATGGTCTGTTCACCTTTGTACTCCCCCTCACCCTACACACAGGGGCGGGGGAGAGAGAGAGAGAGAGAAAATAAATAAGCAAACAAATATTTAGAGATTTGTTCACTGGAGGGCTGTTGAGTACAGTTGTGAGATATTTGCAGTTCTGAGAAAAATGAGGAAGAGTAGCCACGTCTTCTTTTTCCCGTGTCTCTTTAGGGCATATGGATCAGTACTTACATATTTACAATATGCTTTGCTGCCAATGTGGGCTTGCTGTTCGGCGTTGTCTGCACCATAGCTATTGTGATAGGACGCTTCCCAAGGTAAGGCTTCATTTAAATACTCGCTTCTTCTTACTCCACAGCAAAACATATGATAGATATTATAGTGGCTTTTATTTTACACAATATATATTGTTTGATGATTTAATATTCTCTCACTTCTAGTAGGGAAACAGGAGAAGAGATAGCAAAATATTTTACTTACATATGACATATACTAATATTGGTCATAATAAAAAAAACCATCCATGTCCTAACAGATCTCCGAAATAAACCAACTTAAAGGGACAACTTTATTTTGCCTAGAGTTTGGAGGTTGCCTTGGGCCTGTAGTGGCCCAGTGCATCCCTGGTGGAAATGAATAGTGGAATCAATCTACTTGTTCCTAAATGCCTGGAAAACAGAGAGAAGGGATTATGGTGCCAATATCACCTTCAAGGGCACACTCCCAGTGACCTAAATCCCTTTAATCCCTAGAAGGTTCTACCTTCTTCCATCAGCCGTGTAAGCTGCTAACCAAGCCCTTTAAAATCTAAACCATGATGAATTTCATAGCATCTATTAAAATCAATAAATCTCATGGTCATATACTTTATCATAGCATTTGAAAAACAAAATAAAGGATACAATACTCAACACGACATAAACATGTGCCAGTAATGATCATTTGGGAAACTGAATGGCCGTTTTCACTTTTTAGAAACTGCGTTATTTGCTGTGGAATGCCTTATTGCTTTGTCTTTCAACTGAGTATTGTCAACTCCTTTACCTATTTTGAACAATTTCTTTCCCCTATTCCCAGAGTTCATCTACTAATTGTCATACTCCATTCTCATGGGTCCCATGGGATTATCCATGAAATAATCTGAGCCTATAGCTTTAAAAAGTAAAAATAACCTATAAAATCTACTTTCACCTGTATTGAACCTGGAATACAGATCATTATCTTGGCTTTTTGCCACTGCATTCCTTTCCTTCCCCTCTTCTGACGAGATTTTATCAGACACCGTCTTGTCTCTAGCACTTTCTCATTTTATAATTTGTTTAAATCAGGGTAACTCTTACAGCTTGGAGCTGTGGGATTCTGGGGAATTAAATAAGATAAATTCTATTTATTAATTTCTAGTTAGATACTTCTGTTGTTATTCTCTACTATGGAACATCCTCACAAAAGATAGATTTACCAATATCTTCTAGACAAATCACCATAGAGTATAAACCACATAATTTCTAATTTTCAAGATGAAACAGCTTGCTGCTTTTGATTCTTCTCTGTTAATATAGTGATCAGGAAATGACTCGTAATTTTCATCTGCCTTGATTTTAGGGCAAAGACTTTAAGCGTAACGAACATGAAAGAACTGGAGTTTAAGGTGAAGACAGAGATGCATGACGTAAGTCCAACTTCCTTTTCTCTTCATGCAAGCTTCAACATTTGTGGACACAACAGTTCTGCGGGGTCATAAAATTAGACAAATTATGCTACTTGACAACATCGCGCCATTTTTCTAGGTACTGGTTTCCAGTGGATTATATGTGAACACCACACATGGCAGTGGACATGCATTGGTCATTAGAGAAAAAGAAAAATCTCTTTGAATTTAGGTTTCTAATTAGATCACATCATGGTTCATAGAATTTCAGTTCACAATTGACTTGTGGCAGAGATTACTTCAGGGATTTGAAAACTTCTTTTCCATTAGTAAATTATATAAAATAAGCCAAACTGATAGCTTTTTCTTCCTTAAGTGATAGAGAAAATTAGGGAATAGAAAAAAAAAGAAACAAGTCATTCATGCACTGGTGTTGTAGTAACTGAGTCACAGTTAAGTGGTAAATATGATCATATATATGCATGTATAAAATTGTCAAAGATTTTAAAAACGTTATTGGAAATACAGTGATACTGAATTGTTAGCTGAGAGTAATTAAATCCAAGATTCTGTCTAGAGTGCCAATAGGCATGGAATTATGTACAGTGGAGACGGTTCATAAAAAGGCAATTTACGTAAACTGGCTTGCTTTGCACATGTGTAAGGTGCCATCTGAGTGTTGGAGTTCTATTATCTTGTAAAATTTAAAGTTGTTCTTTGACAATTTCATGCAGGTTGCTTTTACCCCATCCTCTCTCACCTCTCTCTTAACTCCATGAACCCATCCCTTGCTTCATCCCCCTTCCCACATTCTCGTCTGTCTGTTTTGTTTTGTGACCCACTGAGTTAAGCCAAGGGTCTTTGCCTGTGGCTGTGTACCCAGAATAGAGCCCACTAGGCAGGAATGGGCAGTTCTGGTTTCTTGTTTTAAATAATAACCAGAAAAGTTTAAAGTGGGGGAAAATAATAACAACGTAAGTGTTCACTTGAATCATTTTTGCCCATTTTTAAAAGTTGGCCTCACTTTGAACCTGTTTGACAAATGTTTGGTTAACATTTCTCCTTTATTTTCTTATTCACTTGCTTCATTACCTTATGATTCCCCTCAGAACACAGAGAACTGGCCTCCTTCCAAAACGACCAATGTCAAGGTCTTTCCAGGTAGCCTGAAAACAGGAAGTAACTTCAGGAGTCTTTCTGTGACACCCAGGAGAATGGTTTGTTCTTTTAATAAGAGATTTACTTTACAGAGGGCTGTTTGACTCAAAGCCTTGGAGGGTGTCCCAGGCTCAAGTTTTCAACCAAGTCAGCCTTTCTTTTCTTTCATATTTTTCCCATGAGAATTTAACCCATAGTCCCATCATCTCCCACTGATGTCCTCATCTTTCAGATAGAATATGATTTTAGGTTGACGAGTTTTCACTCTAAAAATCATTGGTGAGCAAACTGCATAATCCTTGTCTTCTGGGCCAAGTATAATTTAGTGTGAATGAGGGACTTTTAGGACAGATACAAACGCCAGAAATTTATTATGTTCTCAAGTCTTGATTGTCTTCTGTCACTCATACAATAATAACTTTTGCTCATAAAAATCCCCATTTTATTAAAATGTTACATCTCAGTGGTTTCCTAATACTTTCCATAAAAATAAGAGATGTGAATAAGATTGAACATAATTTGCATATAAACTGCTGGATGAAAATTTTACCTTATTTAAAATGGTGCTACCTCCCTTTTTACCTCCATGCAAAATGCCCATTTCTAACTTAGGATATCTCTTCTCATTCAACAAACCCAGTTCTGTTGAGGATTTCTTAGTTGCAGCAACTTGGATCTTTATTCTTTAACAAATATTTAGTTTTTTCACCTTGAAACTCCTGGAACAATCAAATCCGATGACTGTATATGACAGACTTAAACATTAATGGTTTATTTTCAGTTTCTAAGTGGTTTTCTCTCCATTAAAAGTTACATTGGCAGCTTAACCTTTTTGCTTCCTTGTATTATTTGTTGCAATTCCTTCACTTTCTAGAGTTGTGTATTTTCTGTTTTATAAACCCTGAAATACACATTTTAAACATTTGTTTAAAAAAATGAGCAAACAGCGAGGTCTACAAGTTACCCACATTTATGTACCTAATTCTTTATTTCTTCTGCCTGCATGCATGGCTAGTCTCTGCATCTCTTCTTCTGTGGGAATACTAAGGCCTGAAGGAGTAATGCCTTGCTTGCTTGGTAAGGAGCTATCATTGCACAGGATTGGCCGTCTTCTCAATCAGATGCCTGTCCCAAAGTCACAGAAAAGGGGGTTTGGTGCTGTCAAGAACAGATGGACAAAGTAGTTATATTTTGTGTCAAAACCTTTTCTTCTCCCTGTCCACACCTTTCGTCTACAATGTGGCAGTGCAGTAATCCAGGGCTAGCCTAGTCAACTGTGTTCCCGACACTGCCTCTCATGGCTTTCTTACAATTTAGACTGCCAATTATTTGCAAAATCATACTTTAGCTAGAGGGGGGCTTACATCAGTGTTGGATAAAGGGATGATAGTGGACACTTTGAGACACATTTTCAGTTGTCTTAAAATGCTGATGGACTCAGCAGCAGAGTACTTGCCTAGAGTATGAGAGACACCATGTTTGATCCACATCACTGCAAAAATAACAGTAAGTTAATTTGAATTTATAGGGTGAATGAAAGAGAGACTTTTGGGGAGGATGGGCAGTCTAGACTGTTGCCTCATAGAACCCAGTGAGTAGGAATACAAGACACTCCCTGAAAAGCTGTGGACTTGTTTTGTTGGTGATGTTTCTCAGTACAGATGTGTGTATTTCCTTGATGTATGTGGTAGTCCATTAAGAATTACAAATAAATTTCTGTAACAAAAATGTTAGTTAAGAGATTGCATACATACTTGATATATCATGGCTGGTTGATATCCATGGGAGGCCAGCCCTCTACCTAAGAGAAACGGAGGTGGAAGAGTGGATGGATTAGTAGGTGGGAAGGGGGACTCGGAGAAGAGGAGGGAAGAGAAACTGCAGTCAGGATGTAAAAACAAGAATAAGTAAATGAATGCAAAAAAATTAAAGATTTAGAGAGAGAGACATTGCATACACAATTAAGTGATATGTTGACTTACAAGATTTCGTCTGATCGGGTATTGTTTTTTTGGTTTTTGTTCTGTTTTTTTCTGACTGGATTCAGAGTTCTGAACCTTCCTTTTTTTCCTTTTTAAAAGGAAACCTTGCAACAGGTAAAAATCATCTCAATAAACAACCCACTTGTTTTCCTGAATGCAAAGAAGTTTAATACTGATCTAATGAAAATAATCCTAAAGGAAATTGACAGCAGTCAACCACTTGATGATGTCAGCAAGGTAGGAATGTCAGGTTAATGATGTGTGTCATACTACAGATCACTAAAAATGTCCTCAGGCGAACAGCAATAGGGTAGAGATGTGTTTAGAGACCTGTTCCTCAGGAGAAACTTAATATTATATTTGGCTATTCATTTACAATATAACCTGAGAATAGGACAATATTAAATATGTTTAAGAAATTTGTTCATAATGGTCCTAAAATAAATATGTGATAATCTAGTTCTTCAGAATATGGACTATGGTCAACAACTTCAGAGAAGCATACATTATTGCGACTACTATTATTAACATTATTATGAAATTGTTCCTCTCACCCTTCCTCCCTCTTTTCCTTTTCTTCCTTTCCTTTGCTTACTTTTGTTTGGTTTCTTCAAATTGAGACAGGGTCTCCCTAAGCAGTCCATGACCTTTCTGCCCAATTCTCCCAAGTACTTGATTCATCGCTGTGTACTGTCACCCCACTAACATTCAGCTTTCTTTATCTCTGTAAGAAGTCCCTGTGATCAGAGATACTGAATGAAATGTGCATCAGAACAAGTCGAGGTGAATGTGTCATTTGCCCTTGAACCTCAGGTCCTCTAACGTGCCCAGAGACCGAGCTTCAGGGCCAAGCTGCCTGTGTTTGCCACTCACCAGCTGTGGGAATTTAGATGAGCTTATGCTTCGGGGTCCTCATTTGTAATAAAGATGATTCAAAGAGTTGAAATGTGCAAAACCACTTAGACAATGCTTGGGCTGCCATACTGGGCAGTCTTTGCTACTATGTATTAATTTGCTTAACTTTCTCATGAGGCATTCCTTGACTCTCCAGACATCTTCTCTTATATCCTTGAGTGTGTATCTCTTAGTCACTCAAGTACATAGGAGAACTTAGGCCTCTTGTTTCTGGTCTCAAGAACTTTGCAGAAGGACAATCCTTTGTCCACAGACTCATGCTCTGCCTATAGTTCTCATGCTGATTTGTCAATGATCCTCTGTACCCCATACAGGACCAGATATATGATTTTTATGGTCATAGTTGAAAATGAAGGCATAATGTTCTTTTTTCTGTAATTATTAATACTTGGAAGATAATGGTATCAGTGTATAAATGAGTGTAAGACCCTGTACACAAGAGAGCTTTTAGGACCCCACAGATTGTAAATATATGATGTCTGCCTTGTAGTCAGAAGTTTTTCTGTGTCCCACCCAGTCCATAGCTGCTCAGACCCAAGTAAACACACAGAGGCTTATATTAATTAAAACTGTTCAGCAATTAGTTCAGGCTTACTAATGAATAGCTCTTACACTTAAACTCAGCCCATTTCTGTTAATCTACATGTTGCCATGTTTTCTGTGGCTTTACCTGTGTGCCATTACATGCTCCTCCCTGGACAGTGGGCTGGCGTCTCCTCACTCATCTTTCCTCTTCCCAGAATTCTCTTTGTCTGCTTATCCCACCTATACTTCCTGCCTGGCTACTGGCCAATCAGCATTTTATTAAACCAGTGTACAAAAGCATTATTCCACAGCACTGCCTTGCCTTTGTACTTTCAGGGTTTCACTTTCAAGGGAATTCTGAGGATCATGGCCAGTGTTTTCAGATCAGGAACTTGCTCCTTTATCTCGTTGTTCACATTGGTATACAATATGTTTCTTTCACAGAGCCTCTATACTATATGGCAGTGCACAGTTGTGATAGTTTTTGTGGACTGGTGTTAGCCCACAGTCACCATGCAAAATAGTATTAAGAAAAAAAATGATATGTTTTTAAATAATCTCATTAACCCATAATAAATTTGTCTAATTTAATATCTTTCACCTAAAACCCTGCAATGCAGTGTAACCCAGGGCTACCTAAAAAGAACCTGTTTCCCAACACTGCCTTCTGTCTCCTTCCTTCAGTTAGGACTGTTATTCATTTGTGAAGTTATATTTCAGCTGAAGGAGGCTTACACCAGTGTTGCATAATGGGATTATAGTTGGCACTTGGTTAGGACAAAATATATTTTAAAAATAGCTTTATTTTTGACAGTTTTGATTTATAGAAAAACTAAGAAGATATGATAGCTTCTCTATACCTCATAGCACTGTGAGATGTTTAGGTCTTGCATACCAAATACCAGCTCCAACCAACAAATCCACCTGTTTCATTGTCTTTTGTGGGTGTGTGTGTGGGGGGGGGTAATGGGAGGAGCTTCCAGAATTCTGGCTGATGTTCCATGTTGCATTTAACTGTCATGCCTCTTTACGCTCCTGTTGTCTATGACAGTTTCCTAAATTTTCTGGTTTTAGAGGTTTGGAAGTTTTGAGCAGGACTGGCAGGTATTTTGTAGCTTGTCTTTGTATTGGAATTTGTTTGGTGTTTTGCACTGTAAGACTAGGGGAAAACACTTGTAGGAGTGGTCTCATGTCCTAGCCAAGGTGCATAATACAAACACGACTAATTATTGTTGGAGTGATATTGATTCCCAAATAATGTAGTGACTCGGTTCCTCTCTCAAGTTCATCTATTTTTACCCTCTCTGTGCTGTACTGTGGCAGGAAGTCACCATGTTCAGCCCAATTCTAAGGAATTGGAGAAGTTATAATTCACCTCCTGAAAGCAGAGTATCTAGATACATTATTTAAAATTCTTCTGCACAAGAGATTTCAGAGAAGGTAAGAGGAAGAAAGGAAAATTGCACCTGCTGAAGGCCAGTCCCTACGGTACAGCCACACAGTGTAGGTGCCATTATCTGAATTCCACATAAAAGAAAGATTGAATCTGGGAAGTATAAGAAACAATATGACAGGAATATGTAATCTGTAGCACTGGACAACATGTAGAGGAAATCGATTCTTCACTCTGCCTTAAAGATTAATACAGAAAACCTGTACAAGCAGTGATTGAGAATAGGAACTTGCAAAGACCTTGGCTTTGATTCTGGTCTGAGCTGTTCCTAGCTTTGTGACTTTGGCCTGTTTTTCTAACTTTCTCATCCTTGATTCCTTCATAATGGAACACAAGATTAGTAACTTCACAGGATGGTTCCGAGGACTCAATTATTAATGTCATCAAGATTCTGGCTTTTAATAAACACTGAAAAATACCCATTTTCATCATCATCAACAGCAAAAAATAGTACACTTTCTGATAAACAGATAGCATCCATCTTGAACTATATGATACAGAACCAATTTCTTTTCACTCCCTTACTTCTAGCAACTCATAAATGTTTCCAGGCATTTTCATGGGGCTAATGTGTATGAGATCATTTCTGACCTCAGATCAAAACAAATTTATTCTGTCAGAAAGTGTCCTAACATCTGACTCAGTGAGCAAAGTATCTACTGAACTTATGTATACTTACTTCCAGCCCATAATTGTTTCTTCATTTCCTAGTTCACTGCACACAGCATCTGAAACAAGCCTAGAGAAAAACATCTGAATGAGCTAATTGTTGTCACTCGTCACGGGGAAGGGAATGTGGGGCTTTGTCATTGGTAGCTATATTGTTTCACGTTTTTATTCTTTGCATTTCTTTTGATTTCAGTGTGAACAGAACACCTTGCTCAACTCCCTGTCCAATGGTAACTGCAACGGTGAGTTCTCTAAGGAAAAGCGAGTCTGAATGTTTTGACTTGAGTTTACAGAGGATAGAAATCCCCTTCTCCTCTCCTTCTCTGTTGGCTTCCCACTACCTTCAGGTTTTCCTTGTTCTTCAGCTAGACTCTCTCCTTACTTTCTCCTTCTCCCCCTTCCCCTTTCCTCTGAGTCTCCCTTCTCCTCCTTTTTATTCCTCTGCCTCTCTCCTCACTCTTCCTCCCCCTTCTCTTTCTTTTTCCTCTCCCTTATCTTCTTTCATCTCTTTTTCCACCGTTCACTCCTATCCCTTGTTCTTGCCTCCATCTATCTCCTTTTCCTTCTCTATAAGTTGAATATCTCAACTTTATGTTGACTTAATATAGACCAACCTTTCTCCCAAACATTATCCCACATACATTTTAGATTTCTACTTCACACAACTAAATCAATTACAGGCTCATGCTTTTCTAGGACAAATGTCAGGTGACAGCAACAATGTTTTAATGATATGTCCTTGATAAATTTTCCAGGCCAATGTTTATTCGCTATAAGTTAATCCTCCTCTAAGAGCATGAGTTGAGTTGACTTTCTTTCAATATACAGAAACTAACAGATATAGGAGGCAGTGATGTCTGAGCACACAAGTACTGATGCACAGCCCTGCAGTATGAGTGGACCAGTACTGATGCACACTGTGCAGTCTGAGTGGGAAAAATCCTGGTGCATGACCCTGCAGTATGAGTGACACCATAGAACAGCACAGCAACTAGGTGATAAAAGACAGAATTAGTAAAATCCAAATCATATCTAACCAGAGACTAAATTCCCAACAGGTTGACATGGAATTGTACATTATACCATTTCAATATCATTCATTGGTGAGAAAGAAAAAGAACAATGAGAGGGAGATAATGTTAAAAGTCTGTTGCAGTGAATGGGAACTTGATTCATAAGTATGATATGAGGTCTGACTGGCTGTTTCTCTGGTGACCATACACTGGGGCTATAATAACAAGTTTCAGCATGTTTCAAATGATAGAAATTATGCATACAGATTTACTTGCCAATGAGAAATTACTATGTAAATCATTTGAAAAGATTCATTCATTGTATTTTTAATTATGTGTATATGTGTGGGGAGGTTGAGGGTGGGGCATGTGCACATGAATACCTGCATGGGCCAGAAGGGACATTGCATCCCTCGACCTGGACTTACAGGTAGTTGTGAGCACCCTATAAGCATTTCTGGGAATCAGGCTCAGGTCCTGGCTTAGGAATAGTACAGGCTCTTAACCACTAAGACATCTCTTCAGCTCCTAAGCTGTAAGCTATTAATAGAAGAAAGTTTAGAACAAGAAAACAACCCCAGAGTCTCATTGTATTCGGAAATTACTAAATACTCCTTGTAATTATATATTATCTTAAGAGGAAATCATAATAAGAAACAGAGAAAAGGGTAGATTATAGGGAAATGCATTTCAAAATATATGGTGCTGATAGAAAATTTATCTACCTATTCACTCACCATCTTCATTCTCTCACTTTTTTGGACCCTCTAGCTTATCCCTAACCATCAGCAGCTTGTTCCTCCTCCTCTTCCTCCTCCTGCCCCCCTCTCTTACTCAGCCACACCACCTTGCCCCCACTTTTCTAAGCCTTCTGTAGTGTTGTTCCCAATTTCACCACCAAACCTTTTCCTGGGCTCACTACCTTATGGTATCATTTCTGTGACCCTGCCCCCAACCCCCCCACTTCTTAATCTCATTCAAAATGAATCAACATGACTTTCAGATTGTTTTTTTTCTGTTGTGAGACAAATGATGCTAAAGCTTAAAACTTTCAAACAGGGAACAATGGAATCCATGCGTGTCTATAAGGGAAGCTGTGTTTAGTTTACAGGATGGTAAGTTAAATGTGTTATGCAGCCACCTAGGAGACACTCAGCTGGTTTAAGGGATAAAGACTAGGACCCAAAGAGGCTCAGTCAAGGTGAGACTTAAGAAAAGCACTGGGTAAAGGAGAAAAGAGCCCCAGATCCCCTTTCTCCAACATCCTTTTCAGATGGAGAGCTGACATATGGCAGAATAAACAAACCTATAAAACCGTCTCCATACGTTAGAAGATGGAAGGCATGACATTTTTGTTCTGAATGAAAACTGTAATTATTAACTTGTGAAGGGATCTTCAAGAAGTATGCTTGGTATTTTAGGTCATCTGACGACAGTGCTAACAGGAGCCCTATGGAGTCTCTGTTGCCATGGTGACCTTGCTGCTGCTGCTGCTGCTGGGGGTGTGTGTGTGTGTGTGTGTGTGTGTGTGTGTGTGTGTGTGTGTGTGTGTGGTCTTCCCACACATTCCCTCAAGGTCTCTGCACATATAACTCTTGCTCTTTTCATTCATGCGGTTTTCATGTTGTTATTCACCTGGAAAATACTTCACATATTCCTTTAAGATTACTTGATCTTAGGAATAGTAAGAGGTGCTGCATAGTAAATGATTAAGAAAGTAGACCTGGTTTCTGCCGTCATGGACCCCAATGTTTAAGCAAGCTTCCACCCTCCTGAAACCCTTGCTTTACTCTTAAACCCCAAATAAAAAATTCAAGTGTATAGACTTCTGTCACTGCTGTTGTCATTATCCTAAACTCAGTGGCTTAAAGCAGCACACATTTATTACATTATAGTGTAGTGACAGAAGTTTGGAGGGAGTCCCATGAGCATGGCATTGGAGTTACAGTTGGGATATACTTCTTTTGGAGGTTCTACGGGAAAATCCCCTGCTCCTTTCCATCTTGGTCCATCTGTATTGATTGGTTCATGATGGCACTGATTTTCAAGCCAGTAGAGGCATCTTCAGGTCTCTCTGATTCCTTCTTCATTGTCTCTTCTCTGACTCTGAATCTCCTGACACTTGGATGGTCTAGGATAATCTCCCCATGGTAACATCCAAATCTGCAAAGTTCTTGTTGCCCTATAAGGTAGCATATTCACAGGTACTAAGGAGGAGAAGGTAGACTTTGGAGGTGTTTGTGGTGGGGGGTGGTGTGGGGGAGGGCATTGTCAGTTATTTCTGGTTCTTCCTTAGCACTTTCTGTGTATCTGATACTTTTTCCTAAGTTACAAGCTGAGCTGAATAGTCTCCATTTGACTGCACATCTATTGAAGGCTGGCACAATCATCACTGCTCAGCACTGCCTTACATTTACAGGGTGCTTACAGTCACAGTGCATGTGTATTAATTGACTGTGAGAGAACAGACCTGTAAATGAAATGTTCAATAATAATTGCACCTTTTCCCAAAGAGAGTATTGTTCGTTTTAAATATTTCTTCTTCCCTTATTCCCTTAGAAATTAGAAGCTGGGCGGTGGTGGCGCACGCCTTTAATCCCAGCACTCGGGAGGCAGAGGCAGGTAGATCTCTGTGAGTTCAAGGCCAGCCTGGTCTACAGAGTGAGTTCCAGGACAGGCACCAAAACTACACAGAGAAACTTTGTCTCGAAAAACAACAACAACAAAACAACAACAAAAGAAAAAGAAGAAAGAAAAGAAAAAAAAGAAGAAATTAGAGAGATAATTCTGTTTCTCAATAGTTAATTGTTACTGATAGCAGACACTTTTAAAAATTACAAGTAACTCACAGACTGTCAGAATCTTTTGAAGTAAATGGAAAACACTCCTAAATTATGCAACTATGAATATTTTTTAATTAAAGAGGTTAATGAATATTCCACAGGAAAGAGCTGTCTTCCACATTCTGGGTTTAATCGCCTACCCACACCTGATGGTTAATGTCTTCTGAAACCTTTTTTTTTTTTTTTTTTTTTTTTTTTTTTTTAATTGATGGAGCCCATCATTTACCACCTGCCCTGTGGGGATAGATTAGCTGTCTTTTTTGCACATGCTCCAAGTTTCCCTCATTTGCTTACAGCAGGCTATTTGCTGTGCGTTCTCTCCATTCTTATCTAGGATGATGCAATTCCTATTGTGCTTCCTGATTTACTTACAAGTGTGGAACACAGGATTGTATCTGTAGAGGAGGAATGGCAAGGCTGAGGAGATGCGGGCAGAGGAAAATTACGGTTATTCTGGAAGATTTCAAAATGTCCGTTGTATTTACATTTTCATCTCAGTGAATTCGAAACGTCACCATCAGAGTTTTATTTTTGTTTAAAAGGGATGCTATTAGTTAATTTCTTTTAAATAGCTTACCTAAATAATTATCCACAAATATATGGATGGGTACTTTGTTTTGATTTATTTTATTTTGAATGGCTTGAAAAGCTCATTTGATTAAAAGGAAAGCAAAAAGAAAATCATAAAAATAAAAGATGAAATAAACAAGCATAGACTCAGACAATGGAAGAAACATTTCCTATCACAATTTATAAATTCTAATTATTTTATAGTAATCTATAATAACATATGATGAAATAATTACAAGAAAATAACAAAAATGGGGACTATAATTTAGCAGTGAAAAATATGGCAAGGTTGAAGAGACAAACTTTCTTAAAAACAATCCCATGCTCTTCAGCTATCCATTTTTAATTGTTTAGACAGCATCATCAGCAATCTCTCTAGATAATCTAACATAGATTGTTTTCATTGTAGCATTTTTAAGTTCAGACTGACAAATAAAATTATGGTAGTACCTTATAAAAACACTAACTTGATAAACCATTCTAAGGTTTAATTTGACTTCAGTAAACAAAGTTATCACGATTACATAAATCTCTTGCCTTGGATATATATTGAGATGCTCAAAATCATGTCAAATGGCTTAAAGATAAAAACATGCAAAGTTTTGAAGAAAATTAATGTATTGACTTGTTTTCTAAACTTCAAACAATTTCTTTTAGGTTATAGTTTATTGCTGTAAAGTCTTATTTGTAAGTATTATTATTATGCTTTTTAGAAAAGACTGAAAACACACACACACACACACACACACACATATATATATATATATATATATATATATATACACACACACACACACACAAGTATCATTATACAGA